AGGCCATTTTTATGACTAATGTGAATGAGATGCTGCAGTTTAAATTTACAACTTTACGAGAGGTGAGGGATAAAGTCTTCTCATTATTTTCGCTCCATCCTGAGTTTGCATTTTGCGTCTCTGTCTGTGAGAGGAACACAAACAATATCCTACATGTGTCATTAGTCAGCCTGTGAAAACTGATTTTATTTGTATTGGGATTGGACACAAATACATTAATGCTTATTGGGCTCGGGTTGGATTCGATCACTCTAGCCTGGGCTGAGTTATTGTGAATGAGCTGAAGAAAGTTTGACTTATTCCTTGTTTAGTCCTTGTTTAGATCTGCTTTAGACTTGGTGTAGACCTGGTTTATCCCTGGTTTAGTCCTGGTTTAGCCCTGGTTTTGATGTGGTTTAGAACTGGTTTAAAACTAGTTTAGTTCTGGTTTAGCACTGGTTTAATTCTGGTTTAGTCCTGGTTTAGTCCTGGTCCAGTCCTTGTCTAGTCCTACCAGTAGTGGTCCAGTCCTGTCCAATCCAGGCCCAGCCCTGGTCCAGTCCTGGTCCAGTTTTGGTTCAGTCCTGGCCCAATCTTGGTCGAGTCCTGGCCCCATCCTAGTTCAGTCCTGGTTCGGTCCTGGCCCAGTTCTTGTCCAGTCCTGGTCTAGTGGTAGTGGTTTAGAACTGGTTTAAAACTAGTTTAATTCTGGTTTAGCACTGGTTTAGTCCTGGTTTAGACCTAGTTTAGTCCTAATTCAGCCTTGGTTTAGTCCTAGTTTTAGAACTGGTTTAGTCCTGGTTTAGAACTTGTTTAGTCCTGGTTTAGACCTAGTTTAGTCCTAATTCAGCCTTGGTTTAGTCTTTGTTTAGAACTGGTTTAGTCCTGGTTTAGAACTGAATTAGACCTGGTTAAGTCCTTGTTTAACCCTGGTTTAGCCCTGGTTTTGTCCTGTTCTAGTCCTGGTTTGACTTGATCTGACCGTTTTATTTCGCTTAACGCTCCTTATAATCCTCTGTGCATAACGTAAGAAAATAAACGAGAGAATTCAGCATTATTGATATTTCGTCTTATAATCCGGCGCTCCTTATCGCTGAAAAATACAGTATCTATACAGTGTGTGTGGTATAGGCCAGATCCAGACTCGCTTCTCCACATATTAAAGAGTTTGACCCCGTTCCAGCCCCCGGAGCCGCCCCATGGGATCTGCTGAGGTGCACGCTTTACAGGACAGCTAAGTGGACTCTCCTTCTCCCTCCCTCTCCATCTCTCTCTCCATCTCTCTCTCCATCTCTCCGCATCACTCAATCAATGCCACACAGTGAATCTGCTGCTCTGGCACTGCGCTCGTCCTCCTCCCTCTTCACCTCCTCCATCACGTTTAAATGGACAGGCCGCGCTCTTTCTTTGCCGGAGCTCGTTCGTTCGGGCCCGTCCGCGCTCCGTGGAACGCTTCCGGGCCGCTCGCGATAACGGCTTTTCCAATTTGATAAAACCTGCGGAAAAATACAAATCCTCCCGTGTCCCTGTATGTGTGTCAGATGCCCTCCCCGTCCTCCCATCTAATATTTAGTCTTGAAAAAAGCTAAATATTGGATGCACCGTCTCTTCAAATCAGGATCCGGGAGTCATTCGCACGAGCTAAGACGGCGAAGTGTCTTGCCCAAGGATACAACTGAAATAAGCGTGCGCTGGATAGAAAAGGACTACATAAAAACTCTAATCCATCTGAGCCACATGTTTGTCTGGTTCAATCCTGGTTTAGTCCTGGTTTAGTCCTGGTTTAGTCCAGGTTTAGTCCTGGTTTAGTCCTCCTTTCACCCTGGTTTAGACCTGGTTAAGAACCAGTTTAGAACTGGTTTAGTCCTTGTTTAGTCCTGGTTCAATCCTGGTTTAGAACTGGTTTAGTCCAGGTTTAAAACTTGTTTTGTCCCAGTTTAGCCCTGGTTTAGTCCTGTTTATTAGTGGTTTAATCCTGGTTCAATCCTGGTTGAGAACTGGTTTATCTCTGGTTTAGTCCTTTTTCAATCCTGGCTTAGTCCTGGTTTAGTCCCGGTTAAATCCTGGTTTATTCTTGGTTTAGTTCTGGTTTAGTCCTAGTTTAGACCTGGTTAGAACTGGTTTAGCCCTGATTTAGTCTTGGTTTATTTTTGGTTTAGTCCTGGTTTAGAACTGGCTGAGAACTGGTTTAGTCCTGGTTTAGTCCTCCTTTAAACCTGGTTTAGACCTGGTTTAGAACCAGTTTAGAACTGGTTTAGTCCTGGTTAAGTTCTGGTTTAGTCCTGGTTTAGTCCTAGTTCAATCCTGATTGAGAACTAGTTTAGTCCTGGTTTAGAACTGGTTTAGTCCTTGTTTATTACTGGTTTACTCTGGTTTAGTCCCTTTTCAATCCTGGCTTAGTCCTGGTTTAGTCCCGGTTAAATCCTGGTTTATTCTTGGCTTAGTTCTGGTTTAGTCCTGGTTTGGCCCTGGTTAGAACTGGTTTAGTCCTGGTTTAGATCTGGTTTTAGTGCTGGTTTAATTCAGTTTTTTTTCGCTCTCGAATCAGGATTCAGTTCACGAGTCACTGAGCGTCATTCACACACAATAAGACGGTGAAGTGTCTTGCCCAAGGACACAACTGAAATAACCGTGCACTGGTTAGAAGTGGATTACATAAAAATTTAAATCCGTCTGAGCCACATGTTTGTTTGTGTTTTTGTCCTATGATTTTTTTTTTTTTTCTCCTTCTTTTTCAAAAATGCAGATGAAATGTAATAAGAATTTCAAATGTGGTGTATTTTTAGAGAGACTCATTAACAGAGACGCTCTGATCTGAGTCTGAAAGAGACCGTTTACATCTCCCACTCTGTCAGACTCTGCTCTACAACCTCCACTGGACTGTCAGACCCACAAAGAACTGGTTTAGAACTGGTTTAGTCCCAGTTTAGTCCTGGTATAGAACTGTTTTAGTCCTGGTTCAGCCCAAGTTTATAACTAGTTTAGAACTGGTTTATCCTTGGTTTAGTCCTACTTTAGATGTATTTTAGAACTGGTTTAGAACTAGTTTAGTCCTGGTTTAGAACTCTTTTAATCCTGGTTTAGACCTGGTTTAGAACTCTTTTAGTCCTGGTTTAGAACTGGTTTAGTCCTGGTTTAGAACTCTGTTAGTCCTGGTTTAGAACTCTGTTTTAGTCCTGGTTTAGTTCTGGTTTAGTCCTGTTTAGAACTTGTTTAGTCCTGGTTTAGCCCTGGTTTAGAACTGGATTAGTCCTAGTTTAGAACTCTTTTAGTCTTGGTTTAGTTCTGGTTTAGCCCTGTTTTAGAACTAGTTTAGTCTTGGTTTAGAACTGGTTCAGTCCTGGTTTAGAACTGGTTTAGATGTGGTTCCGTCCTGATTTAGCCCCAGTTTAGTGTTGGTTTAGACCTAGTTTAGTCCTAGTTCAGCCTTGGTTTAGTGCTAGTTTTAGTTCTGGTTTAGTCCTGGTTTAGGTCTAGTTTAGTCCTGCTTTAGTCTTGTCTTTGTCCTCTTTTAGTCCTGGTTTAGCCCCTTTTTTGTCCTGTTTTAGACCCTGAGTTAGTCCTGATTTGCATCTCATTTGGTGCGTATCATCCATCCTGCTTCAGTTCTCTCACACAGTATTAAAGTCGGCTGTTTTTGTTGTGTTTCGTTTTATTTTCTATAACGTCTGAATAATAAAGTGATGAAAAATACATGAGCAGGTCGGCGCCGTAAACATATGCACATACATTTGTTGCATCTGATAGTCCGCCGTTTAACCTTGGACAGTTTGACCAAAGAAGACTCCTGCTAAATTTATTTATTAAAAAAAAAAAAAACTCCTGTCTGTGTTGAAGTCCCTGAGGGCGCCCCCTGCAGGGAGAGGAAGTGAATTAAGCAGATTTAAACTCATCACGGTCACTGCACCATCTGGACTCTGCACCTGCTTAGACTTAACCAAGACTGGACCAGAAACGGACTAGGACTGGACCAAGACAGGACCAGGACTGGACCAAGACTGCACAAGGGCTGGGCCAGGGCTAGACCAGGATAATATGGATAATATGGACCAAATGAGATGCAAATCAGGACTAAATTGGGTCTAAAACAGGACTAAACCAGAACTAAACCTGTTCAGGGCTGGACCAAGATGAGACCAGGCCTGGACCAAGACTGGACCACGACTGGACCAGGATTGGACAAGGACTAGACCAGGACTGGACCAGGATGAGACCAGGACTGGACCAGACTAGACTGGACCAGGACTGGACCAGGACTGGACCAGGACTGACCACGACTAGACCAGGACTGGACCAGGACTAGACCAGGACTGGACCAGGACTGGACCAGGATGAGACCAGGACTGGACCAGGACTGGACCAGGACTGGACCAGGACTGGACCAGGACAGGGCCAGAACTGGGCCAGGGCTAGACCAGGACTGGACCAAGACTAGACCAAGACTGAACTAGGATGGGACCAGGACTAGACCAAAACTGGATCAGGACTGGACCACTACTGGCAGGACTAGACAGAGACTGGACCAGGACCAAACCAAGACTAGAGCAGTATTAGACCAGGACTGGACCAGGATTGGGCCAGGACTGAACAAAAACTGGATCAGGACTGGACCAGGACTGGACTAGGACTGGACTAAGACTGGACCAAGATTGGACCATGGCTGGGGCAGGACTGAATAGGACTGGACCACTACTGGCAGGACTAGACAGAGACTGGACCAGGACCAAACCAAGACTAAACCAGTATTAGACCAGGACTGGACCAGGACTGGACCAGGAAAAGACCAGGATTGAATCAGGACTGGACCACTACTGGCAGAACTAGACAAGGACTGAACTAGAACTAAACCAGGACTAAACCAGGATTGAATCAAGACTAGACCAGGATTAGACAAGGATTACACGTGGACTAAACCAAGACTGACCCAGGTCTGACCCAGGACTAAACCAGGACTAAATAAGGACTGAAGCAGGACTGAGCTGGTCCTAGTCCCTCCCTCCTCGTCTGAGTTTGTGTCTGACCTTTTTTCCGGTTGAAGGCTCGGTTCATGGTGTAAAGTCTCCAGTCGGCTCCTCCAGATCCGTGCCAAAGTCCCACCTGAAATAAACAACGAGAAACTTTTCAGAAGAATTCCACCAGCACACGCCAAAAACACAGACTTAAAGCAGAATTACCCTGTTTATAGTTTATAATCTTTGACACCGGTGGATCATTCTGTTATCATTTGGACATTTTAAATCACAATATTCATCTAAAACAACCACATCGCACTTGAGCAGAGCATTTATTTATTTATTTTTTCCTCTATGTATAAATGGACATAGCTAATCCCCGAGCCGTCGTGTTCTGAGCTGGAAGTGTTCATGGGTGCACTTCTGGCTCCATCGGCTCCAGGTGACTTTACATTGAAAAATCATGGTCCCTCTCTGTGTGACCGCTGCTGTGAGCCTCAACGTTTTGGTCTTAAAATGATCGTATGAACCGGGGTCCGTCGCTTATTCCGACATCCCTTCATTACGACATGCCTCGGTTTAGATGTGCCTATCACAGTAATATTGTCAGAAAAGCGGAATGTTTGAAAAATTGTCAAGTGCCGCTACTCTGACAAATGAAAAAAAAAAACAAACAAACAAAAAAAAGTCGAAGTAGTGGGACACTTGAAAATGTTTATGCCGCTACTCCGACAATTAGACATCAGTGTCTAAAAAGTGGCATGTCAAAATAGATGTATTAACCCTCTACATCAGGGGTGTCAAACTCATTTAGTCCGGGGGCCGTATCCAACCTACTTTGATCCCAAAGGGGCCGGATCAGAAAACTCATGTCATATAAACCCCAAAAATAAAAAGAAGTTCAAATATTTATGCAGAGAAACACAAATCTATTACGTACATCTTTTTTAATAGATGAACTCTTTCTTTTAAAAAATATTATAATATTATGAACAACCTGAAACTTTAAGAAAAATACAATTTCAACACAATGTTTTAACATGAACTTGTTTGCAAATAGGAATAAATCAATTTTTCTTGTAAAATCCTGCACTCGGCTCCACTTTTCTCATGTTGGACATTTTTCTTATGAGGGTGTCACGGTCAACAGTCAAAACGATCGTCCTTTAAGAGCGTTTGGAAAGAGACAAGTCTTCATTTGTGCTGCTCTGGTGGGAGGGGCCACGTACAGAGACGCTGGAGACGCTGCTGTGATAAACACCACAGAAAATTACCAATATTTTAGTATAAAATCATCTGAGGGCCAGATTAAAGGTGTTGGATCTGGCTCCCTGGTCGTATGTTTGACAGCCCTGCTCTACATGATCCTGGGGTTTTTATTTCACTATTTTGTCTGTAAATCAGGATATCAACATTAATAACAGACCAATCAGCCAAACATTCTCTTTGTTCCGGCTTTAAATCCTCGATCTTGGGAATCATTGCTAAAGCAGAATGTATAGTTCTTCACTGATTGGCTGGTGCTCAAACTTGAGTTTCCAGGTTTCTTACAAACCGTCTAGTGTGATTCCTGATCTAGTTGCTGGAGAGAAATGAAATGGAGTGGAGGCACTAGGTGGCACCAGACTGACTAGGATATTTTGAGTTTATTTATAGACTTGATAGTTTGCACCTTTGAAGCTAAGACCCAAAATTAAGCTTTTTTTTTTTTTTTTTTTTTTGTCACTTTTTTTGTTTGTTTGTTTGTTTGTTTGGCTGTATGTTTTGTATGAAAGGGTCATTTTTTCACGTGTATTCTTGGTCCTGTAGATTTTATTACAGCCACATGACTCAACTACAGCAGCAGATTACAGGTTGTAGTGAAAAAATTATATATATATATATATATATATATATATATATATATATATATATATATATATATATATATATATATATATATCCCATACTGTTTTAGGATATTTTCTGATCTATGTTCTAATGTTTCTTCATCACAAACAGACCTGGACTTGTGTTTTGTTTCATTCACACACACACACACACACAAACCCTGCACATTTACACTGAGTTCTTCTCTGAAACAGAAAATGTGCTGCAGTGTCACATGATTATACAGGAGGAGCTCCACTGTGTTTTTAAACTCCACACACCTTCACTAGAATCATTTGGAGGATTTCAGCCCTGGAATTGTCAGTCTCTACTGAATGAAATTTTAAAATAACTGAAAAAAACCCCAAACAAAACTAAATCTAGCCAAGTTAAGATGATTTGAATTAAGAGTAATTTAACAATGATTTAACAATGATTTGTGTAAATTTCACTTTACTAGTAAAAAAACATCTACCAGGGGAAGACTTTTTGTACTTGTAAATGCACTTTTTGGTACTTGCAAATACACTTATAATAAGAAAAACAACAACTTTTTGCACTATTCTTAATTTAAGTCATTTTTATTTAGCTAGATATTGATTTTTCTTCCAGGATGTTAATTTGAAAACTATCACTTCATGACATCACAAGGTGGAACTAAGCATTTTGAGTTCTGGAGATGTAGACACATTAATAACTCAAACATGAATGAAACAGAACACAACTTTTTGATGAGGTAGCAACATTATAACACGGCTCAAAGCGCACGAGAGTCAGTTTTGTGCTCGGGACCTTTAACTGAGCACGTGTCGTCGGTAATAATGATCATAAAGTCTCTCGTCATGTGTCTTTTTCTGTGCTGAACACAAGATTGGAAACAGTTCATTACATCTGAATGTGTTGATTCCATGTTCTGTTCACACTCCAGTCTCCCCCAGAGGACACTCTCCTCTCTCCGCTCGCCTCTCATTAAACCACTCACTGCAAATGCCACACACAAAGTGGATTAAGACCTGCCTTTAGTCCTGATTTTATTTAGTCCTGGTCAGTTTTGGTTTAGTTCTGATTTAGTCCTGGTTTAGTTCTGGTTCAGTCCTGGTTTAGACCTTATAAAATTCCAAGTTAAGTTAGCCTGGTCTAGTTCCAGTTCAGATCTGGGTAAGCCCTGGTTTAGTCCTGGTTCAGTCTTGGTTTTGTCCAGGATTTGCTCAAGTCTGTTCTTAGTTTAGTCCTGTTTTAGTCCTTGTTTAGTCCTGGTCTAGCTCTTGCTTAGTCCTTGTTTACTCCTGGTTCAGTCTTGGTTTTGTCCTGGTTCAGTCCTGGTTTAATTCTTGTTTAGTTTTAGTCCTGCTTTAGTCCTGTTTTAGACTTGGTTCACTCCAGGTTTTGTCTTTATAAAATGGTCTAGTTTCATTTCAGACACTAGACCTGGTTAAAACCTGGTTTAGTTACTGTTCTGGTTTAGTCCTGGTTCAGTCTTGTTTTTTCCCTGGTTCAGTCCTGGTTTAGTTCTTGTTTAGTCTTAGTCCTGGTTTAATCTAGGTATAGTTCCGGTTTAGTCCTGGTTTAGACTTGGTTCACTGCAGGTTTAATTCCAAGTTAAGTTAAAATTTAGCCCTGGTCTAGTACCATTTCAGATCAGAGTAAGCCCTGGTTTAGTTCTGGTTCAGTCTTGGTTTTGCTCAGGTCTGTTCTTAGTTTAGTCCTGGTCTAGCTCTGGCTTAGTCCCTGTTTATTCCTGGTTCAGTCCTGGTTTAATTCTTGTTTAGTCTTAGTCCTGGTTTAGTCCTGGTTTAGACTTGGTTCACTCCAGGTTTATCATAGTAATGGTTTTTGTCCTGGTTCAGTTCTAGTTTGGCTCAAGTTTAGTCATAGTCCCGGATTAGTTCTGGATTAGTTCCTGATTAGTTCTAGTTTAGACTTAGTTCACTTCAGGTTTAGTCCTTAAAAAATTCCAAGTTGAGTTATAATTTAGCCCTGGTCTAGTTCCATTTTAGATCTAGTTAAGCCTTGGTTTAGTCCTGGTTTAGTCCTGGTTTAGTCTGGGTTTAATTCCAGTTTAATTTTATGTTTAGTCCTGGTTTATTTCTCGTTTAATCTTAGTTTATTTCTGATTTAGTTCTAGGTTAGTCTTATATTTAGTCTTGTTTAGTTTTAGTTTAGTCCTATGTTTAGTCCTGGTTTAGTCCTGGTTTAGTTCTGGTTTAGTCCTGGTTTTAAAATAAACACTGGAGTGGATGAGAATTGAAGGGGCCGGTTGGGGTTGGAGGGTTTTGGGTGGGACTGGCACATTCCACAGACACATACCTCAAAGACCAAGTCCTGGATTAGACCTGGTTTAGTCCTGGATTTGACCTGGATTTGACTTGGATTAAACCTGGATTAAACCTGGATTAAACCTGGATTAGACCTCATTCAGTCCAGATTCAGTTCATAAATGTAGTCCTTGTTGTAGTCTTATTTTAGTCCTAGTTCAGTCCTTGTCTAGTCCACATGTAGTCCTGGTTTTGTCTGGGTTTAATTCTGGTCTAGTCTCAGTTTAGTCCAGGTTTAGTCCACATCTTGTCCTAGTGTGAATCCTGGTCAGTCCTAACCTAAATTAGTCTTGTTAGATCCAGTTTTAGTCTTATTTAAGACTCGGTTTAGACCTGGTTTAGTCTTGGTTCAGTTCTGGTTTATTCCTGGTTTAGAACTGCTTTAGTCCAAGTTTAGTCTGGGTTTAGTCCACACCTAGTCCTGATTTGATTCCAGTTCAGTCCTGGCCTGAATTAGTCCAAAATTGTGAATAATTTTGGTTCATATTTAGTTTAGACCAGTTTTAGTCCTGGTTTAGTCCCGGTTTAGTCCTGTTTTAGTACTGGTTCAGTCCTGTTTTAGTCCTGGTTCAGTCCTGGTTTAGTCCTTTGGTTAGTTCACATACAGTCCTGGTTTTGTCCATAGTTTTGTCCAGGTTAGATTCTGGTCTGGTCCCAGTTTAGTCCTGGTCCATGTTTAGAACCAGGTTTAGTTTACATAGTGTGAATCCTGTTCAGTCCTAAACTGAATTAGTCCTACTTAAAACCCGGTTTAGACCTGCTGTAGTCCTGGTTCAGTCCTGTTTTAGTCATGGTTTATTCCTGCTTTAGTCCAAGTTTAGTCAGGTTTAGCTCTGGTTTAGTCCTGATCTATTCCTGGTGTAATTCCAGTTCAGTCCAGACTTGAAATTAGTCCAAAATTGTGAATAATTTTGGTTCATACCTGGTTTAGACTGGTTTTAGTCTATTTTAGTCCTGTTTT